TCACATTCATTTACTAGCAGTGTCTGGCACTGAACAAATTATGTGGGAATACACACCTGAGATTTCTTATGAGGCTGTCATTAACAAGCATCCCAATTATAATGACTATGTGACACTTTATAGTGGTATTTGTTTCTAAGATCTCCCTCACAAGGAAAAAAGAAAGCTTGAGCAGTTTCCAGGAATGAAAATGCCTATCCTCTACTCATCCTTCTGTTATCATACTCCATTTTTCTATAAGGTTGGTTTCTTTTTTGGTACCAGGAATCAAACTCAGGACCTTGTGCTCACCAAACAGGCACTGTGCCACTGAGCTATCTCCTTGGCCCAAGAAGGCTGATGTTTGCTTCAGCTTGCATGCCATGGGCAAACATCCAAGACTAGAAAAATATCCTGAAACCGGATTTCCTAGAAACCACTTGTTGAAACACATGTGACTACCTGGAAAAAGATCAAGTAAGGTTAGACAAAACAACAACCCTCTGTAAGCCCATTACATATGTTAAAGAATTTGAGGAACTCTTCTGTAGCACTCTTTTTTTATTATTAAAGGAATATAAAACTATTTATTGACCACTGCTCACCATTATTTACAATAAAGTAAACAATACAAATTAAGGATAACATTCTGACTACTACAAAGTTGTTTTCCTGGCTTCTGTTGAAAACTGTAACCTGAATACTGAAAGACTGAGCCTACATGTAAGGAACAAGTTGAGGTCAAGAAAAAGCATGCAGGTCAATAGTTTAGATTACAAGTTTGTCCACTCATTTATTCTAGGTTCTAAATTGTGAACACCTTCAGTCACTCAGTAGGTTTCCCTGAACCAAGTCTTATGACACACATGAATCCCGACTTTTGAGTGCAGATTTCTACTTGCTGTGAAGTAATGACTCTTGAGGAAATTTAATGTTCCCTTGTTAAATCTTCCTTAGTGAATTCAAACAAACTAAGTTTTGACTTGCTACCATATTTGGGTGGGAAAGTTGTTGGTAGAGATAAGAATTTTTTTTCTCTCTTTTTCAGACATGATCTTGTTATGCAGTTCAGGCTGCCCTTGTGCTCACTATGTAACTCAAGCTGGTCTTCAACTCCCAAGATCTTCCTGCTTCAGCCTCCCAAGGGCTGGGATTGTAGGCATGTGCCACCATGCCCAGCCAAGTAAGACTTTTTTTGGGGGGGGGGTTTAGAAGTATATCGCATTTTTGTGACTAAAAACAGATACAGATTCTGATATGGCTGCTTTGAAAATATCTACTTTAAACTGGCCAATTGCCCTAGCATTTCAAGGTCAGTGAAGACTCAGGACATAGGAGAACCTGTACTGTAACAACATGTAACTCAGTTGTGCTCCAAATTTTCTGATCAAGAAGATTATGGAGCCACAGAGGAATGTGTTCAATGATCTAAAGTGAGCCTGGGGAGAGTCATATGGAGAGAAAAAACATTTTCTCAAGCTTTCACAGAGAACAAATTGATCAAGCAATGGCCATGACTCGTCCTCATATCAGACACTGACAAAAGGATGTACAAAAGGTGGTACAGGGCTACAGGATAAATCCTGAGGATACTTGGCTGACCTTATCAGATACAAAAGTTACA